TTGTAAACACTATCCAATATGGCGGAGAGTTCACCTCTGCGTTCGTGTTTGCGTATTTTCCAAAACATTCTAAACGATTCTAGGGTTATCGGCGACGTTTTGGAATGCTAATTGGGGATTTCATTAAAGACATATACTGTATACTCATATTTGATCACTAATATGTTATTTATGAAATTCATTTCTCCGAGTTGATATCCGAAATTTAGGTTTCAAAACATGTTGTAAATAATGCTGTAAGTGGTGATTTAGTAATGTGTAAAAAATGGCGACATTTACGATGTACCTAATTTTCAGAGGTCATTTTCAGTACTTTTGCTTGGCCTTAAAACCAATGAATGACATCACAGAACAGGGCATTTCCCACCTTATTCAAAACTGTGAAGTGTATTTCTGTTGGTGACGTATTTTGAATTGTATTCGTCTTCAAAGTGAGGGTTGTAGAGGAGGGACATATACTAGTATGTCCCTGTGGCATCCAAGGGGTTAACATACCAGAACATAGTCGATTACAAATCACTGTATAAAGTTTAAGTGTCTCGTCAAATGAAAAGTGGAATCCTGATTTAATGTATTCCGGCTACCTGGCAATTAGAGGGCAGAAGAATCTTAAAATTATTAATAAACATAATTTCAATTCCAAGCAACATCAGAAACCAATATCTATATATCTTCTCTGGCGTAATATACCAATGTCACCTTCTACAAAGATAAATAGTGAAAGCCGGCAAATCATTCAGTTTCAGTTTGATATGAATTTGCGAATTTGTTGCCTATGTGATAATCCATTTTCTATACCTATGTTAGATGGATATGTGAATAACAGTTTACAGCAGCGTCAGATCAATGAAAGCGACATAACCCATTCTATAAGCATGTGTTTATGTATTACTATCAAATAGTGACGATATTAAATATACCAAACAATCCGCGATATTGCGCATGCACAAAACGAACATGTGGACAAGGCATCAAACAATCCGCATGCGCAGAAAGGTTGAATGCAGCACTTAGGCTAAGTGCTACGAGCACTGCGTCAAACTCACGCTTGAAAGCTGACCAATGAAACCAGAGAACTAATTAAAACGGTTGTCGCTGTTGGCTGATAGACAATGACAATGACGAAAAGGGAGACGCTTGATAGCATCTTCTCTGGCTGTAAATTTCGATGTCACATAACGACGTTTTTTGTGGGGAAACTTCAAAGCGTCCATAAAGAGTAGTTTTCTCTCCAGTGACCATATACCAATGGCCAATTGATACAACGCTATTTTCTCCAACGAGAACGGCTAAAGTGTAAATGTTGTTTCCGTTTCTCTGATTGGAAACCATATGAGTGTCAGTTGCAGATGTAGCAGGACGTTGATTCATCCCACAGATGACATCTGTACCTTGTGAGCTTGCTGACGGGGTTAACCTCTTTGGTCATGTGGACAAGGCGTCCGACCTCGGATCAGAAGGTCCGTGGTTGGAATCCCATCACGGGACTCGGAAATTTTATTGCCGCTACACAGAGATTCCCAGTCTCCTTTCATCTGTCATCCTCGTGAGTGACTAACTTTGCATTTAAATTCCCTTTCACAGTCTTGCAGCCATTGAAGGACAAGTCGCCAACCGAGAAGGCCATCGCAGGTTAAACGCATCACATCACACACGTAATTTAATGATGGTGAGATGAGGTGGTGTATATTTTCTTAGTTGAAAGACAAATTAAGTTAGACATTAAAAGTTACACATTGTCAGCAAAGGAGCAACCATTTCATTACTGGTGGGGGTTTCTGAAAATAATAATCACATCCCTGTTTTACGGAAAGTTTGTGCCTCGCATTGTGTAGTCCTCGCCACCTGAAATAGATTAACAAAATATCGCGATTATTCAATAACTACGAAAGATGCATGTGTGCTAATACATATGGAGTACAAACAAACTATTTCATATTACTTACTGTAAAGACAAAAATTGCAAAGTGCATTGTTCAAGAAATATATTGCGTTAAACATCGTCATTGAGTTGTGATCACGTGGTTACAATCCGTGAAAGAATCTACAGTCAGGAAAGAACCACACGACAAAACATAGTGTGCCCTTTCCTGCAGACGCTGTGCGTTTAAATATTGAGAAGCATCAGTTTAAGCTCTTAAAACATTAAACACAATGCTCAACTCAAACCAAAATCCCCTCCACCCTATGCCTCAAATATCAAATGGTAATTATATTTCCTAATGCAAGTCTGACTTTGATTGCGTCGTGTGTGCGCATACTCACATGTATTTCGTGTTTTTGATTTAATAGACAGAAAAAAGCTAACTTAGATCCAAACAAATCGCTGAGATATGAGAAATATAAATGACGATCACCTGTAACCTTCACATATCTCAAAATGTCAATTTACGTCCAATTCCTTATGCAGATTATAGTTGTTGATTCTTATTACCAAAATGTACGCTAACGGACATACTTTTTTAACTGTCGCGGTAGTAAGCGCTTCAGAAATGCAGTATATATGTCCTTAAGAATGATAAATATGTCAAGGGAGACAACTCTTCAGACATTGCGTATACATATGCTGTGAAAGCGAAGTTTATCATTGCAGGGGTAATGGTTGGATGGGCGACCGAATGAGGTTTACATATCTTTCCTGTCATGTTTCATGTTCACTGGTGGGGAGGAGTGAGTGAGTTGGGTTTAACGCGGCTTTTAACAGTATTCAAGTAATATCATGGTGCGTCATCTTAATGTGGGAGGAAAGCCCGAAGTGAATTGCTTGGTTGCAGTGTGCTGGTAGAGGCGGGACTAGGTTACAATGTGCCGGTAGAGACAGGACTAGGTTACAGTGTGCTGGTAGAGGCGGGACTAGGTTACAGTGTGCTGGTAGAGGCGGGACTAGGTTACAGTGTGCTGGTAGAGACAGGGCTAGGTTACAATGTGATGGTAGAGACGAGACTAGGTTACAATGTGATGGTAGAGACGGGACTAGGTTACAGCGTGCTGGTAGAGACGGGACTAGGTTACAGTGTGCTGGTAGAGACGGGACTAGGTTACAGTGTGCTGGTAGAGACGGGACTAGGTTACAGTGTGATGGTAGAGACGAGACTAGGTTGCAGTGTCCTGATAGATACGAGAGTGGGTCATATTTTTCTGGAAGATAAGGGACTAGGTTACAGTATAGGGTAGATACGGGACTAGGTTACAGTTTGCTATTAAAGATGTGACTAGGTTACAGTGTTCTGGTACATACGAGACTAGGGTTGAGTGTCCCTGCAGAGAAGGGACTAGGTTACAGTTTGCTAGTAAAGATGTGACTAGGTTACAGTGTAGTGGTAGAGACGTGACTAAGTTACAATGTCCCTGTAGAGAAAGGACTAGGTTACAGTGTGCTAGTAAAGATGTGGCCAGGTTACAGTGTAGTGGTAGAGACGTGACTAAGTTACAGTGTCCCTGTAGAGAAGGGACTAGGTTACAGTTTGCTAGTAAAGATGTGACCAGGTTACAGTTTACTGGTAGATACGAGACTAAGTTACAGTGTCCCTGTAGAGAAGGGACTATGTTACAGTTTGCTAGTAAGTATGTGACTTGGTTACAGTGTGCAGGTAGAGTCGAGACGGGGGTACTGTGTCCTTGTAGAGAAGGGACTATGTTACAGTTTGCTAGTAAAGATGTGACCTGGTTACAGTGTGCAGGTAGAGACGAGACTGGCGTACTGTGTCCTTGTAGAGAAGGAACTAAGTTACAATTTGTTATTGAAGATGTGACCAGGTTACAGTGTTCTGGTAAATACGAGATCGAGAGTAGGGCACAGTGTCCTTGTAGAGAAGGGACTAGGTTACAGTGTGATGGTAGAGGCAGAACTAAGTTGCAGTTGGTTGGTAGAGATGGGACTTGGCTACAGTGCGTCGTCGCGCTATTGTAAATGTACACCTGAACGATAGCTTCATTCAAATCATTAGTTCCCATATCTCTCGTCGGTTGTATATATATATAGAAACTGGGAGAAAACGATTGCGTAAATGTGACGTCACAGTCTAGCGGTCTGGAGCTGGTGTTGTTACAAGCGGGCGTCCACTTCTCGGACGATCAGTGGCTACTCCAATTACATCGTAACGCTCCATCAGGTGTCGTACCGACCTCGCGGACGCACCAACTTGTAATGCAACGTCAGCAGTACGCATGCCTGCATGCAACATTCCGATGGCTCTGTCATGAACATTATTGGGGATTCTTGGCTTTTATTTTGAAGGTAATCGTGGGAAAAATAATGTGTTGACGGTGTTTTCTCGTGTGTTCTAACAATTGATGTCAATAATAACCAGGCACCCTAACATTCACGCATACGACATGTGATTCGTGCGGCGATTGTGCGTTTTGCATGAATTTAGGGTTGTGCTTCTAACGTATGATAATGTTCAATAAACTGTGCCAGTTTGATACCCGAACACGCTTGCCTACCTTTCAACTAAGTTATTGCAGACAGAAAATGGAAAAATATTTAGTTCAGTTAAGTCATTATACAAATGATTGTATCAGCCTTTTGTTCCCATGTGAAGGTCCCTTTCCGTGTTGACACGTTTGAGTTGTGTTTTTAGAAGCTTGTGCGTTTTTGTGCTTTAAAATGACATTCATTATTTAGTCCTGAATGGTATTATATTCATCCTTCACATATCGTTTCCCACATAAATGCTATCTTGTATTCATTTTCTGTATAAATAGATACAGTGATACATATATTATAGCCATGTTGACAAGGTTTGCCTTTATCAAGGTAATCGACACGTTCCGTTAAATATTTGATTGGTTAATTGTCAGTCCTGCTTGTAGTGATAGCACAAATATTTCAGAAAAAAACACTTTGTGCTTCAAGACGACAGCAGAGCAACAGTGAAAATGATCAACGGCGCTTCAATCTGTGGTCTTTTTTTTACTGTTTCCGTTTACGCCATTGTTAACCAAAATGCACTCAGAAAAGTAACCGATACCGTGCAGCTGACAGATGACATGCACTTTAAAGTAGCCAACAGGTTGACATGTGCTATGAGTTGCTGCAAAACAGTCAGTAGTTGCGGCTTCTTCTTTTCTAAAGCTGGACGTTGTCAGTGTCTAAAGGAGTACGGGGGCTATGAAATATGGACAGCAAACCTCAAGAGAAGTAAGTTATTATCTTTCTTCCTATCGACTATTGCTGCTTTCTTGTTTTGTTAACTCATCCTGGACAATTTCTTCCATCCCTGAAATATGGGATACAAGACACACATAAAAGATCAGTATTTTCAACAGTTGGTTTTGGATTATAGCTTATGTAGTGATACACACCTTCATGTGTAGTAACACCACTTTATAGTTATACATTGACTATGTAGTTTGTAATCATCTCCATCAGTCAGTCAGTTATGCCCATCGCTCCTCCCGAAGCATAGGCCGCCGACAACAGTCCGCCAGAGTCCTCGGTCCTGGGCTGCCCTCTCTAGTTGTTTCCAGGTGTGTCCCATCGTCTTACCGTCTGCCCGAGGTCCCGTCGTCAAGTGTTTCTTGGCCGTCCTCTTTCTCGTTTTCCCTGGGGGTTCCATAACAGCGCCTGTCTGGTGATGTTACTGACTGGCTTCCTCAAAGTATGCCACATCCATCCCCATCTTCTGCGCCGGATCTCATCTTCGGTAGGCAGTTGGTTGGTACGCTGCCACAGGTCTGAGTTGCTGATGGTCTTGGGCTAGTGGATCTGGAGGATTCATTTCCATACACGCTTATAAAGAGATAGATGTCAGTTCACCGTCAATTGTCAGAGATATAATCATTCCGACATATTTAATACCGATTTCTCTAACGTTACTGTTTCTGAATACACTTTTTTGGCGACTGTTGTCCATTATGAAAACGTTTACATTGAAACTAAATTAATATACTTGTTCTACGTTGGATGACGAAGAAAGGTTTTTGGGTGCGGCTTTTCCAGGGGAGCAGGTTTAGAAGGGCGTCTACTCCTCATGCCTGGTAACACTGAAAATTGTATGATAATTTGTAAGACGTCCACAGAACCATATTAATTTGTCAGCATTGATGCTGAGTTACCTATATTTAACTTCTTTTTTTAACAAATCATGTCGACATGCTCAGTTGACAATGTAAAGGTAAACCAGAACTAAGAGCTACATGTAAGATGTGTGTAATCTCATTGTCACCATTTTTGTCATACTTCCGCATGTGTTTGTAGAAGTGAGCTACAAAACCAACTTTCCAGAAATGTAGAAGGCTAGCTATTCATTGGAACTTATCTGCCTTAATATCAAAGCGAAGCATCGATAATATTCATTACATTGAGTGAGAATCGTTTTACGCCGCTTTTAGCAATATTCCAGCACTAAGACGTCGGGGGACACCAGAAATGGGCTTCACCCATTGTACCTATGTCGGGAATCGAACCCGGGTTCTAACCACTGGGCTGCCCGACCGCCCCATTAGTGAGGGGGTGAGTGAATGACTTAAAGTTTAACGTCACAACGGCAATATTTCAGCCATATCGTGTCAAAATATATTATCATTTTGCAACACAATATAAAAACAGGCTATAGATCGCCAACAACATAAGGTAGATCACCACGCTAGGGTCCATGGGGACTTACAGTACTTTTGCTACCTGCATGGACTCAAGCAGGATTTACACCATCCCTTCAGTGGTTGGCGATATTTGTCAATTTAGCCGAATTAAAAGAACATCTATTCTGCGATTAAAAACGTGGTAGTACTAAATATACTGCGAATGACGTGGACTTACGTACCATCTCCAGGGGACGATCCTTTTACACTACTTCAACCCCCTTCGAGGTACAGCCACTGAGAATCTTAGTTATCCAATTTATTTTACCAATATCAAAAGACCATTTATTAATTACAAAACACATTTATCAAAATTTATGTACAAGTTATATTTCTTTTAAAAAAACTAAGGATTAAATGAGAGCTGATATTCTTAAAAATATCCTTTAACGATGAAACTTTGAAATACTTTCCCCTTGTGATGGAAAAATCAATACAATCAAGTAAGACATGCTTGACTGTGATTCTTTCCTCACAAAGGATACAGAATGGGGGATCCTCACCGTTCAATATATATTCATTAGTATATCTTGAATGGTCAATACGACATCGTCGCATAATGATCTCATGAAATCTGGACTGACATCCCAAGTAGGTATAACCGATATTTGGTTTGCTTTCATAAAGTATATTTATACCTACTTGAGTGTCCCACTTCTTTTGCATTAGATCACGGATGTAAGATCTAATCACGGGTTTATAATCACTGTATGGAATTAGAAGTGGTGTCACAGATTTGTGAAACGATGTTGTATTGGCCAGTAGCAAGTTGATTATATAATTCAATAATTTCAATTAATAATGGATGCTTACATGATATATTTTTAATAGCCTGAAGACACGAGAGGGAGTCCGAAAATAACATAAATTGCTAATGCCTAGTTTGTTTACCAATATATTTTCGAGCCGTTAAAATTGCAAGGGATTCGGCTGTATAAATAGAACTATTATCAGGTAGTCGTGAAGACATAATCCTCGATCCAACGACGGTGGTGCTAGCAACCGCGTCAGCATCCTTGGATCCGTCTGTAAATATAGATTTGAATGTGTTATATGTGTTCCGCAATTCTTTTAATTCTTGTTGATAGATTAGTTGGTTGGTTTCTGATTTCTTAAGTTTAGTTAATGACAGGTCAACCTCAGGCTGTACCAACTGCCATGGGGGAGAGGACAAAAGCTGAGTTGGAGCTATATTTTCAAGATTGATTTTGCCAGCAGAAATGTCAGATTTGATTCGTAGGCCAAGTGGAGGAACAAGGGATGACTTTTTATGCTACATATCCTCAAAGAGAGGATTAAAAACGCAACCATTTGCAGGATTAGTAGGATTTGAATAGAGCTTTGTGGGGTATTGCAATGAGAGTTTTATTCGACGTTCTTTTAGTGAGGGTTCATCCGCCTCTACATACAAATATTGACAGGGAATGTTCTAAAGGCTCCAAGGCACAGCCTCAGGCCTTGATGATAAGTGCCCCGTAAGGTTGGATTGGTTGGTTTGTTGTTTAACGCCGCACTCAGCAATATTCCAGCTATATGACGGCGGTCTGTAAATAATCGAGTCTGGACCAGACAATCAAGTGATTGATATCATGAGCATCGACCCACGCAATTGTGATCGATGACATGTATCAACCAAGTCAGCGAGCCTGACCTCCCGATCCCGTTAGTCGCCTTTTACGACCATTAGGGTTGCTGAAGACCTATTCTCCACGGATCTTCACGGGTCTATACAGTTGGAGGAGGGTTTTCTGATCCCCTTCCCACTTTGAATTTGAAACGACTTTCAGAAGGTCAAGAGCCTTCAGGCATTTATTTTTCAAATATTTGATGTGTGATAAAAAGGTTAAATGGTGATAAAAAATAGTACCCAGGAATTTAGCCTCTTTTACAACTTTAATTGGAGTACTATCTAAAACTAAATCAGGGTCTTTATGAGGATCATATTTTCTACAAAAATGTATACAATTGCTTTTAGATTTTGAAAATTTAAATCCATTTTCCAACGACCATGTATTTATGTTTTTTAGACACAGTTGTAATTCTCTTTCTATAGTACGCATGTTTTTACCACGGCATGACATGTTAAAATCATCCACAAAAAGTGAAACATCAATTGAATCGTTTAAAACTTTGGAAAGACTATTTATTTTTATGCTGAACAAAGTAACAGATAAAATACTGCCTTGTGGGACACCCTGATCCTGATTATAATGATTAGACAGGCTTGAGCCCACACGGACTTGAAATTGTCTGTAAACGGCCTCGCAACCCAAAGTCATGTAAATCTTTTAAAATACCGTGCTTCCATGTAGTGTCATATTTCTTTTTCTAGATCGACACTCAATGTTGTTTGTTTATAACGGCATTCTAAACAAATGATTCCAATCGAACTAAATAGTCAATGGTACTGCGATTTTTACGGAAACCACGTTGACTATTTGTTATTAAATCATTTGATTCAAAGTACCATGTTAATCTTTTATTGACCATGCGTTCCATGGTTTTGCAAACGCAGCTAGTCAATGAAATGGGTCGATATTTGGAAGGATCAGCATGATCACGTCCAGGTTTAGGTAGGGGAACAATTATAGCCTCACGCCATGAAGAAGTAAATTCTCCTGACGTCCAGATTTTATCAAATATTATCAAAAGGGTTTCTAAACAGAATTGTTTTGGCGAATGTTGTCCATTATGAAAACTTTAACATTGAAACTAAATTCATATACTTGTTCTACGTTGGATGACGAAGAAAGGTTTTTGGGTGCGACTTTTCCAGGGGAGCAGGTTTAGAAGGGCGTTTACTCCTCATGCCTGGTAACACTGAAAAATGTATGATAATTTTATTTTTTTCGAAAGTGCGCCGGGTTTTTTCATTTAGAATTTTAAATTTATTGAGATTATGGACCATTGGATGGCGTCGGAAATATTGTTCAGTTTTTTTCCGTGCCTTCCTAGCTTGATTGCAATCATTGATGAACCATGGGTTACGTATGTGAGGATTTGAGGAGGACTTCGGGATACATTTGTATAGCATCGGGAACATCAATAATAACTTCAGGTTTTAGTCTGTTAGAACAAAGGACTTCATATAATGCCCAGTTGGCTTTAGTAAAATTCCAACGTGTAGATGGAGGAATATCAGAAGGTGTAACAGATTTTAAAAAGGTAGGAAAATGGTAACTTTCACAGAGGTGATTGTGGACGGACCATTCAAATTTATTAAGTAAAGTAGAATCTACAACTGACAAGTCCAGACAAGAGTATGTTCAAGTTGCAGGATGTAGATATGTATGAGAACCATCATTAGAAATGCACAGATCTTTATTTAAGAAAAAATCTTCAAGTAATTTTCTTTTATTATTGCTGTGAGCACTACCCCAAAACGGGTTATGGCCATTCAGATCTCCCATGATAACACAGGGCTTAGGGAGTTGGTCATATAGTGCCTGAAGATCAGACTGTCTGAGAGGGTATGATGGTGATATATATACACATGCACAAAAGTTAAGCGCCACCATATTCATAGTCTCTTGATTTCACGTGTGGGAATCAGAAAAACGAAATATGATGATGTACGACTGAATTAGGCTTCCATAGTTTCATGAACCAAAAGTTGTCCAGATACCACAAGGAAAGCGTGCTTTACGTGTTGCTGCAGTTCCCCTACCCTATACATAGTGAAATTCAAGTTTCAGACACGTGACTGCATTTTGCTCCTGTGTGAGATTCCCCTTCCAATAGAGGTTGAAAATCAACAATGGTGAGGAGAAAGTTAACGAACGCTGAAAGATGGCAAGTGATAGGCATGAAAAATGCTGGCATGTCATGCAGGGCCATTGCAAGACAAATGGGTCGTCATCACAGTGTTATCACTTGTTTGATTGTCAAACATGGTCAAACTAATGATGTCAATGACAGGCATAGGTTTGGTAGGCCAAGAAAGACCTCTAACAGAGAGGATAGACGTCTTTTCAGGATAGTCAGACAAAATCCATTTTCCACTTCAACAGATTTAAGACTGCAGTGGCTTACCCATCAGAGACTCCAGACGATTACCGTAAGGCTTCGCCTCAGAACGGCTGGTTGTAACGCCAGAAGACTATTAAAACGTCCTCAACTGACTGAGAGGCACATGCGGAATCGTCTGATATGGTGTCGTGCCCGTAGTCGATGGAACTTGGCCAACTGGAGAAGGATCCATTGGTCTGACGAGTGTCGAATGCTGCTACGAACTGTTGAAGGTCGAATACGTGTTTTGGAGGCAATGTAACACTCGTTTTGCACCAAGGAACATCCAGAAGACCTTAGCATGTGGCAGGGTATGGGGTTGTGTGTCCTTTGGCTGCAAACTTCCGCTGGTGACAATTCGTGGAAACCGGAATGGCCAACAATACCAAGATGCCGTTCTTCATCCAGTGGTAGTCCCTCATTTTGACAACCATCCTCTTCAGACAAGACCTGTTTACATGGACGACAGTGCTAGACCACACAGATCTCGGGCAGTTTGGGCTTATTTGCGATTGCCACTCTGCCTTGGCCGGCCTGTAGTCCGGATCTTAATCCGATTGAGCACCTCTGGGACATTCTTAGCCGGAAAATCAGACATTGTCATCCCCCATTTCAAAATCTTGTTGGACTTGAAGCCGCACTTCATGAAGAATGGATCCGTTTGCTGCAGAGAAGCATTCAACGACTTGTAATGAGTATGAAGCTGTGGTCAATGTCCGTGGATCATACACACGTTACTGACGTTTCTGTCTTGCAGTAGAGTGACACCTGATATGGTCTGCTGATTTCATGACAGTTACATGACAATAAAAGTTTTTCAATGTTTTCTAATCCTTCAATTTCTGGTCTACGGTAAAATTTCTTTCTGCTCATATTATTTTGGAACACAAGACAAACTTGCTTTGGGACAACTTTTGCATCACATGAGGTTTACATATACGGCTTACAACATCGTACATCTTGTTATACTAGTCATCCCAGTGCCCAAAGTAACAGCTCACAAATATGGTGGATGGCGCTTAACTTTTGTGCATGTGTATACAATGAACACATAGTAAAACAAAATTTAACGTTATATGTACTGCAACAGCCTGAAGAGGGGTATTGAGAGGAACAGGACCATGAATGACGCCCTGCCTCACCATAACAGAAGATTCTCCAGTCGCTTAATCCCCCGGAGGGGAAAAGCAATGGTTGGAGTCGTACTGTCGTAAATCAAATTTATCTGTGGTTTTAAGGAAGGTTTCTTGAAGAAATAAGGCAGATGGTTTGAAATCCTGAATTAATAGCTGAAGATCGTTAAAATTTTTCCGAAGTCCTCTACAATTCCATTGGATTACATTGGGAGAGCAACTCATGGAGGCACAATTGGAGATCGTGAGCGGGGGGAAGGTCCTCTACGCTGTAATGGCAGCAATGGAGTAACCTCCATATCCAGAGGTTCAAAAGGGTTGTCAACCTCCAAAGGAACATTCAATGGCAAAGGCTCATCAACATGTTTAAGGGCCCTTGCTTCTTTTTTACGTTGTTTTTTTTAACTTTTCGAAAGAGGTCTATTTGTTCTCAAGTCAGGTACAGTGTCTGGTTCAGTGTCTGGTTGAATGGCAGGTTCGGGCAACGTTACAGTTTCCAGCAGCTGTTCAGTTTGGGAAGCTGATGAAGAGGAAGTACTGATGTCATCAGTATCAATTCGATGCAGTATTTATTGAACATTCGACACCCAGCTAATAGCTGTTTGACAACCATTATCAGCTTTGGTAGGAGAAGAGGAGATTGCAGCAGAATAAGTCAGTGAAGAGGTGGAAGTGGTCGATTCACATGTTACCAGTTTCTTTGCGTCTCCAAATGAAATATCATTGGTGTACTTTATTTTCAGAATTTTAGTTTGTGTTTTAAAAGATGGACATGATTTTGAAGTGGACATGTGATCACCGCTGCAGTTTGCACATTTGGTGGTATTTGTGCAGTCAGTGTTATCATGAGTCTCACTACAGCGGGAGCAAACTTGGGTGTGATGACAGGATTTAGCTCCATGTCCAAATCGTTGACATTTAAAACAAAGGAGTGGATTTGGTATATACACATCCACTCAAATGTTGAAATATCCGGCTTTTATTGAGGATGGAAGCTTTGCGAGGTTGAACGTAAAAAGGTAATTCAATTCAATTCTTCTACAATTTCCTCTTCACATACGTCTGAGAGGCACTTCACACGGTCACGTACAATGCCTCTACATGAATTGAGTGTTTTGTGCACAGAGACAACAATCTCTGTATTTGCAAAATGATCAGCATTGAGTGGATTCAGAGACTGATGTCTCCTTGCACACTCCGCGAGCAGTAAACCGGACCGAAGAGGAGTGACATTCTTCACAGTACCACAAATACCTTCAATTGATTTGAGAGGCTCATCATCAATCCCTTCAACAACCAGAAATCGTGGCCGAGATTACTATTTTGTACAAAATCCTCAAGAGATATTGCAGGATCTGTATCAATATGACTTCCTTTTGTTTTTTTGTCGAGAACCAGTGATCTGTGGGGTAGCCTTAATGGAAAAAGGATGTTCGACACCCCTGCTCCCCACCCACCATGGTTACAGGCATGCTGTACTCAAGCAATACAGACACGGGAAGCTAAGAGAGTTGAACAGAATAACGTCAGGCTGGTTCCGCCCTTGACAATTTTCTTAAGACAAATAGAACCCGGAGGTCAATAATCCCAGATTGGCCCATGAACCACCGCCCTCAAGCAAGGGGCTCTAGGCAGATAAATATCACATACAAATTTTGATGTTTTCCAGAACTATTAAATGGAATATAAGTATATCTGCAAATTTATTCAAAATCAAAGTGTATCATGCTCAGGGCATGGCGTGACAAGCCGATTGATAAAACCGGGCCCATCCTATCACCCGTCTTAGCGAAATAAGGGTCAAAGTGGTGTCTTAGGCAAAAGTACCACCAGTGCACTTAACCACCAGAATCCCGTCCTAAGCCGACACAGGGACGCGACCCACGGTAAACGGTTGCCCAATTCGGTCGCCTTTTACGACCAGCAATGGGGTGCTAAGGACACATTCTGCCCCAGGTCCACACGGGGGAAGAGCAATTAGTGACCCAGCACTCACCACGTGGAGGTTGCTCTTCATGAGTGCCTGATGGGAGATGAGGGACAACCAGACCTAGGGTCACCATCAAGGCTTGTTCTCCCAGACTAAAACATAGCTGCCCAACGTTTAACAGCGGAATAGGGATAGCTAGGGCACTTATCCCCATACACTTGTGACATGCGTTCATGAAATTCCCGGGGAGTACTTTCCTCTGAAGTAAAAATACCTTAATGACGGATTGGTTCTCATTCTTTTCCATTTCTATGTCCATTTGGACCCCAATCACGCTCAACTGGCTGTCACTAATATGCAAATGGCCTCAACAGACTACATACACTTGCAATGAAACTACTCAAACAATGCACTATTGTTGAAAGATAGTCAGGAACTTTTTGGCCAGCTTTCGTATACCTTGTCGACGCATGCAGAAATAGAGATACATAAAGATTAATTTGTTTGGCGTGGACGATTTCGACTGTATTTTGAATGCCCTGAATTAGTCTTTTATGCTCTGGAATCCCAGCCTGTTGTCTACACTATGAATGTCTTTAAAGGAAAAATCTGAATACATACTGTCATTACACGTACATCACTCAAAACATTTTGAAATCACAGTTTCACTGCAATAGTAGAGATTTGAGCTGATTTCAGATCATGGCTAAATTTACCAAAAACCACCAAGGAATAAACGCATAGAGTAAAACTTCGGGGGATACCGTGCTGGAAGCAGTGATGTCCCTTTGGGGGCCTAATGATATTATGTCGTATTTTATAAAACAAAAATATAATGTGTTAGCCAACTAGTTTAAATGAATATCTGTTATATGATGATGTTTGTTTTGTTGTTTGTTTAACTATTTTCATTTAATTTTCTAAACATTACTCTTGTGATGATACCATTTTATTAAATTACCACGCAAAACAACATTCCATCCGACTGTCAGAACCAATGACTTTATATTCCCTCCCTCATGCGATCAAACATTTGTTCATACAGTTAGTGCATCGTACATTGGATGTTACCACGATGACTTTGACCGAGTACTTCCACACGGTATCATGCAGAACGTGACAGACCTGACAACTGAAACCTGCATGCAGCACTGCCATAGCATCAACTACATCTACTTTGGAACTGAGGTAGGCAAACACAGTTACTGTTTATAGAGCTCCATGAGAAGGAGGCCCGTGAAGATCCGGGGTAGAATATGCTTGCCGTAAAAGGCGACTATGCTTGACGTCAAAGGCGACTAACGGGATCGGGTGGTCAGGCTCCCTCACTTGGTTGATCCATGTCATCGATCACAATTGCGTGGATCGATGCTCATGATATTAATCACTGGATTGTCTGGTCCAGACTCGATTATTTACATACAGCCGTCATATAGCTGGAATATTGCTGAGAGCGGCGTTAAACAACAAAACCAACCAGCCAACCAACCGTGGAAAGGCATGTTTTAAGATATGTGTAAGATATCTGCTTCACAGTCAATTGTGCATGTGAACTGATACGTGTGGAGACAATTACGCCTACCATTACTGCATTTAGTGAGTGGGTGAGTGAGTTTGGTTTTATGCCGCTTTTAGCAATATTCCAGCATTATCACGGCGGGGGACACCAGAAATGGGCTTCACACATTGTACCAATGTCGGTAATCGAACCCAGGTCTTTACCACTAGGCTACCCGTCCGCCCCTACTGCATTGAGTGCAGCTACATGTACATGTAGATACAAAATGCATGAGTAATTGATGGTGAGTGCGTTACTATGACAATAATTTCATACCTATTCACAAAAGAGGGATCTTCCGAATGTCGGAGTGTTTAGGTATTACCCAGAATGAGAAAATGCAAAAAAAAATATGTCTGAAGTCTGATGACGTTTAGCATGCTGTCATATTCCAATGTCTGTGACCAGCTTCACAAATCTCCACTTTAGAAATATGTTGTTCCAATATCGTTTTGAAACGTCGTGGTTATCGTTCAGAATGGACATCGGTTTGAGAAATAAATCTAGTGCAGGATATTTAATGGTGATTGTGCTGTGGAAAGAATGTATGCTCTCTATAAAGGAAGAAAATATATGGATGTCAACTTCTTTATTTTCAGGAACACAACGTTTCGGAGTACATGCTTACTCCTTCATCAGGTGAATGATGCTCTCTATTGTTTCTTATGCCACATGGCAAGTGATGCTTACTTTCTCTGATTACAGTGCACAAGTCAATGCTTCTGCGGTCATGTTATCAAACCTGGGCACGCCAAGGTACCCGACAAGGAATGCAACATGCCATGTGCTGGTGACAGCAGCTTGCTGTGTGGAGGATACTTTAGGACATCCATCTATAAGATTAACACTTAAAGTACCGTGTACATCACTATAAGCCTTCCCTTTGAACTAATTCAGCCATATTGAGACGAGAGGTTTTACATTAACAATACATGCATTTAGCCTTACTGAAAGACCTGTCATCGATAGAAACCAGCAGGATTTACACAACACCCTTGTTTCTGCGATAGTTTCAACAAAATTGTGAACCATTTACAATCTCAGTTACTAGAAAACATTATTAAATGAGAACTTATGTGATCTAATGCAAAGTGAGACACCAAAGCAGGTATAAATAAATGACCAAAAATACAATCAAACTACTGAATTGTGTAGTCAGTCAAGATTTAGAGAGGTCATTTTACGAGATGAATACACAATGCCTTGGAGTGGGGGGACAAATGTGTGCTGGCGGTTAGATGCCTCATTCTGAGAATGTGGTTAATAATTCCGGATGGGAACTTACGCCAAAAAGTACCAGTATTTGCACTATACTTAGAAAGTGTAGTCCCAAATATAACATTTGTTGCCTTTTACGATGTGATGAGAGAATCACAGGCAAGCATGACCTGACCTGATACTTCCATCACGTGGGATAAATATTTCAATGTTACTTCAGTAAAGGACAATTTTAGTTATTCACATGTGATATTGTCCTTCTTAAAACATAGAAATGGTAGATTTTGTAATATACAAATTAGCTTATTTTCAACTGGTAGTTAGATCAGTTTATTCTAAGAATAATCGTTTTTCTACCCTTTTTTGGGTTGTTTCATCCAAACAGATAGCAGAAGTCCCCATGGTTCCTTGTATGGTGGCCTAACTTTGGTTGTTGGAGATCAAAAGCCTGTGTGTTTGGTGTGATGCCAATTAATACTCAATTTTTTAATGCTCTGATACTATAATATTATTTAATTAAACAAAAGTGATATTCTTGTTGTACTGTTCATTGTTGATAGATTTGTATGTGCTGTTAGATTACATTACATATTCTAGTCACGCTATGGCTGACATCTTTACGATCTGACTGCACATTTGACCGCGCTCACTCCATCCGATGTCTATACACATCGCTGCCGTCAAGATGGTCGTATCTGTAAACAGTATGCTGTCCCAGTCTTGTCTTCTGATCTTCAGATGCTATCAATACCAATCTAGGCGTGCATGACGGTGATGTGGAAGCATAATTGGGCGCCGTGCATAAACATGCACGTGCAAACTGTGAATCACCACCTATATGTATTTTCAGAATAAATTTGTTTTCCATTGATGCACAGTTACTTTTGGCAATTAGTATGTAAGTATGGATCAGGTTCATCATAGGTGATCGTAACAAAGTTTGTATATGTGATTACCATACATGATTCTAAAAATGCCATGGCAATCATGTTTTCATATTTTGAGGGCATAGTCCATTCCAAACACACTTTTACATTAAATACTTGATGATGTGAATATCTGATTATAATCAGCAGAGCTACAGATAAGCTGCGGATTTGCGTTCAATACTCCCATAAAATATTCAAAACCCAATTACTTTCAATTAACTTGCGTACAGAAACGCATGCATTAAAGGAAAAGCTCAAGTGTATAAAAACAATGAAGTTTTTTCAGCATACAATGGAGCTAATTTCCGGAACACAATTACATGCTAATTTACTCTCCGAGTCAAGCCTATATATAGAACCGCTATATACACTCAACAACAGCAGTTTTGTGACACCAATTTTTTAGTGTATTTTTCAAACAAGTAAAGTTTGGTTTTCAATATTGTGGTACATGTATGGAATCAAGTCACAAAAACGCAACTGCTACAGACAAGCATGCATGCCATGCAAAACTTGACTTTTATGCAAGCTCCATGCATTTCACTACCCAAGAATGGGTATAAAAAAATGTGCGTTTACGGGATTCCATATGCATTATTTAGCATCGTGCTGACAACAACCACTCAGAAAAACAACAAAATTACGCAATCATTCAACATTACGAAATGCCACGCCTGTCAAAAAATGAGCGTCTGCGAGCCATTAGTATGCATTAGGATCGACTCAACGTGATGTTGCAAGATAATTTAACGTCCACAGAAACACCATTTGGTGTTTATGGCAACGTTGGCAACAGACGAATGCAGTCAGAGACCATCCTCGGAGTGGCAGGCTACGCGTAACCAATAATCGCCAAGACAACTGGGTTCGAACAACACACCTACGGAATCGATTCCAGCCAGCAAAAGAGACTGCAAGAAACATCCCTGGCCTTCGACGAATATTTTCACAAACCGTGCGTCGTTGCCTCAGATGTGCAGGGACTGTCGCCAGAAGACCCGCCAGACGTCCAATTTTGACAGGAAACCTCCGTCAAGCACTTCTACAGTGGTGTAGACAACATCTACGCTAGACAGCCATGCAGTGGGGGCAAGTTGTATTCACTGACGAGTCTCGTTTTCACCCCAGCCACAGCGATGGACGGATTCCAGTGTACCGACGTCGAGGTGAACGTTACGTCAATCATTGTGTCATGGAAGAAAATCGGTTCGGGAGCGGCAGCGTTATCGTATGGGGTGTCAATTAAAGCAAGAAAGAGGACCTGTTTTATGGTGGTAGAGGAAAATCCCAATTAACAGCGCTACCGCGACGAGATCATCGGCCATGTTGTTCTACCGTTGTTCTGGCCCAGGTACCTTTCAACACGACAACGCCCGGCCTCCTATTGCTCGATTTGTTCAGGATTCTCTTCAAAACAACGTGAATGTCATCCCCTGGCCGGCTCACTCCCCTGATCTCACACCAATCGAGCACATGTGGGATAAGATGGATCGGCGCCTTCGACGTCAACCATGTGTTCCACAGACACTCCATGAACTTCGAAACATGCTCCAGCAGATATGGACAGATATCCCACAGGACTTTGTGCGACGCCTGGTCCATTCCATGAGACGAAGATGTGTTTCTTGCATAGTAACCAGAGGTGGACACACACGCTATTGATTTTTGTAAGTTGACATGTTGGCATGTCCCTTTTTTCTGAAATCACGCATTTTCTGAAGTCAGTATTGCAAATTACTCCATTTGAACTCTTACAGCAGTCTTTTATCTGCTGCAAACCGAAATTGTTTCAGATTTGGTAAAAAACATAACTTTGCATTAAATCTTATGCAATGTCACAGAAAGTTTTGTTGTTCAGTATACATCTGAATCATTATTAGTTATTTTGGAAATCTCAAAAAGTGTACTCATACTGGACAAAACCCTTCAGATTGATGAATAGATGAGTGACAAAATATAGGTGACCCAATGAAAATTGTAATAACCCAATTAAAATAGAAACCTTCGAGTTAAAACACAATTGCTCAAAGCTTTATTTGGAGCTCTGAATTATTTTGCGTTCATCAATACAGCACTATGCAAGAGTCAAGCAAGGGTTGTAGAGTTGGTAATAACTGACATATTTTATTTAGAAGCCTTTGGTGTTGATGTGTAGCCATGACAGACGTTCAGGTGATGATGTGTAACCATGACAGAGGTTCGGGTGATGATGTGTAACCATGACAGAGGTTCAGGTGTTAATGTGTAAACATGACAGAGGTTCAGGTGATGATGTGTAACCATGACAGGCGTTCAGGTGTTGATGTGTAACCATGACAGAGGTTCAGGTGTTGATGTGTAACCATGACAGAAGTTCAGGTGATGATGTGTAACCATGACAGAGGTTCAGGTGATAATGTGTAACCATCACTGAATTTCAGGTGTTGATGTGTAACCATGACAGAGGTTGAGGTGATGATGTGTAACCACGACAGGTTCAGATGATGATGTGTAACCATCACTGAGTTTCAGGTGTTGATGTGTAACCATGACAGGGGTTCAGGTGATGATGTGTAACCATGATATAGGTTCAGGTGATGATGTGTAACCATGACAGAGGTTCAGGTGATGATGTGTAACCATGACAGTGGTTAAGGTGATGAAGTGAAACCATGACAGAGGTTCAGGTGATGATGTGTAACGATGACAGAAGTTCAGGTGATGATGTGTAACCATGACAGAGGTTCAGGTGATGATGTGTAACCATGACAGAGGTCCAGGTTTTTTGTTTAACCATGACAGAGGTCCATGTGTTGATGTGTAACCATCACTGAGGTTCAGATGATGATGTGTAACCATCAATACAGCACTATGCAAGAGTCAAGCAAGGGTTGTAGAGTTGGTAATAACTGTCACATTTTTATTCATAAGCCTTTGGTGTTAATGTGTGACCATGACAGAGATTCAGGCGATGTGTAAGCATTATAGAGGTTCAGGTGATGATGTGTAAACATGACAGAGGTTCAGATGATGATGTGTAACCATCACTGAGTTTCAGGTAATGATGTGTAAACATGACAGAGGTTCAGGTGATGATGTGTAACCATCACTGAGGTTCAGGTGTTGATGTGTAACCATGACAGGGGTTCAGGTGATGATGTGTAACCATCACTGAGGTTCAGGTGTTGATGTGTAACCATGACAGAGGTTCAGGTGATGATGTGTAACCATGACAGTGGTTAAGGTGATGAAGTGAAACCATGACAGAGGTTCGGGTGATGATGTGTAACGATGACAGAAGTTCAGGTGATGATGTGTAACCATGACAGAGGTTCAGGTGATGATGTGTAACCATGACAGAGGTCCAGGTTTTTTGTTTAACCATGACAGAGGTCCATGCGTTGATGTGTAACCATCACTGAGGTTCAGGTGTTGATGTGTAACCATGACAGGGGTTCAGGTGATGATGTGTAACCATCACTGAGGTTCAGGTGATGATGTGTAACCATCACTGAGGTTCAGGTGTTGATGTGTAACCATGACAGGGGTTCAGGTGATGATGTGTAACCATCACTGAGGTTCAGGTGTTGATGTGTAACCATGACAGAGGTTCAGGTGATGATGTGTAACCATGACAGAGGTTCAGGTGATGATGTGTAACCATGACAGTGGTTAAGGTGATGAAGTGAAACCATGACAGAGGTTCGGGTGATGATGTGTAACGATGACAGAAGTTCAGGTGATGATGTGTAACCATGACAGAGGTTCAGGTGATGATGTGTAACCATGACAGAGGTCCAGGTTTTTTTGTTTAACCATGACAGAG